AAATACAACACCAAAGTAAATGTTCAGTGATTTATTCAGTATATACAAACCTAAAACATGTAAGGATCCTGTGTGTATACCAGGTTATCTGCATGAGCTGGGGCGAGGCAGTGTTGTGCCAACACCAAAGGGCCGAACTTGTGGAGCCCTTGGACATCTGTGACTGAGATGTTGCAAATGTTGTGAGTGGAGGAAACTATTGGGACTTCCAGAAGCACCCTCCATGATACTTGAGAGGGTGCAGTTACTGTGTCGAGCCATGTTAGAAAGTACTGCTCGAGTCTCATGAGGATTGGACGTAGGTGGAGGCAGCCCAGTGAAACTATATATGCTCGGAGCGCAGCCAAAAAACGCACAGTTCAGTAAATTTCCGAGGTAGATGCAGTCGAGAGTGGGATGAAAAGACTCTTTGGAGAGAGTCTGCATGGCGAGACGCATCAAGATGTAGAATTCCAGTGGATGGGACCGTACATATACACATCTTGGAGATCTAGACTGACCACAAAATTGCCGGGATGAATGAGCGTGCGAAGAAGCGAGATAGATGTCCTTCGAAAATGTGTTGGAACTTCTAAGTACGTCGCATTGAATACCTTCATGTTGAAAACGAGCCAGAGTTTTTGACTGTCCTTTTTGGGGAGAAGGAAGATGGGAGAATAAAACCCTGGTTTGTGGGAAGTGGGCTGAGACATGCAATCATGTACTTTATTAGTAATGTACCGTTAAGAGAAGGCTCGTCCTGCATAGGGTCTCGAACCTTGCTGTCCCCCTCCTCCTCTTCTGTGTCCTAAAAGGAATTAGGCTGGGAGGAGAGAAATTCTCTAAGGTCACCTTGGGCAGGGATTTGACAGTTCCGCTCTTTCTGATCTCGATCTTCCAGTTGTCGCCTCTGGAGTCGCAGAGATCTGCAGTTATTCGGAGGCAGGACCTCTTGAGCCACCTGCTGGATCGCATCTGCAAACAGGGTGGGGGCAGACCATAGTTGTTGGTAAAGTTTAGCTTTGAATTGATCTTCCCAGGTATAATGTTGTCATGGAAGAAGAGCTGTAATGGAACCAGAATGGTGAGCCAGAAGGTCCAGGAGTTTATCCTGCATAAGGAGTATCACTCTTCGAAGCAATGCGTCCACGTGAGAGTGAGTGGAGAACAGAAAGTTATTCCGTTCGCCATTTGCAAAAACATGTGATCAGCTGTTTCCTGTGACGTCACAAACAGTGAACACTGATTGCTTCCTGTTGTTGAAAAAGTAACACGGTACACAAGGAAATGAGCACTGATAATAACGGGGCCGATTTGGTATTGATATGTTATGTTACACAAACACTTTCAAGTTGTGGGTGCTTAGCGGTTGTGTTGGGAGTAGGGGCTATATTTCTTTGTTTTCGAGAGATTAGTTTAATAAACTGGAGAAGCCTGTGAGTAAGTGATGGTCATTCAATGTGTTCATAGTTTTTTAGTTCAATTGGATTAACATGCATTAGTGGCGGCAATGTTTGATGTTGAATTGAAGCAAATTGGTGAGTTGCTGCATAGGGGTATAACAGTTGGTATATTTTTACTAACTGACATTTTCATCATGAGTTTGAAACGAAAACGCCATGCTCACAATAGTGCATTCAAACTGAGTCGTCGCTCAAGCTGAGACATTCATAATTCAATATACACTGATTCAACTCGTTGATGGGAACATAACGATCATTATGAGGTTAAAAGAAAGACAACAGAAACCGCTTCCAACATTAGGTGAGTGGATAACTGGTTTGTTAAATCTTCATTAGAAGTTATAAGGACTTTTTCAATTTAATTACAACGTTTTCCTTCTTATATGATTGAATATCTGCAAGTACCCATATAGTCTTGCAGTCCAACTTTGCGGTGTGTCTTTGCCTTTCACTTCCTGGTTCGAGTTATCTACAGGTCATAACATGTTCTTTCATATTCTTTCAATATGAGTTGATACCTTGGCTTATCTCCGGGGTCGGCTTATCTGTGGTTATATACGGTAACTGGAACTGGAGCCGAATCTGAAGGCTGGGAGGTCGGGGAGATACCTGAGCTCTAAAACTGTAGAAATTACTTTTACAAAGGAGTAAAACTTGATATTGAAAGCCGATCATGTGAGCAGGAGCGTTGATCCTTGTCATTAGAAGCCGATCGTTGATCCTGTGTCTTCTTGGCCTACGATCCTGAGAGTGATGATCGGGAGCATCCCAGGTGGTAGCTGAGGCACGAACAGTAGAGCTATCATCCTTTTCGCTTTAGGTTTCGTAGATGATTTCTTTGAATGACGGTCAAACAATCTCCTACGACACTGCTGGGGGAAGATGCAGAAAGCAGAATCTGACACAGAATGACACTCTGCACTTTGTCAGTCCAACAAGCACTGCCCTCAACAATCACAGCACAAGGAGTGAGGGTCCTACGTAGAGTATGTGCCTCTGCATTCTGAACATGAAGGACGCTCTCTGTCCTTTTCACCTATGGTGAAGGCTGTGTTAATTCACAGCCACTTAGCAAACACAAACAAATAATTCTCTAAGTTGTCAAACATGTCAACAATCTGGCGATAAGAAAGACTGAGTTGGAAGAGGTATACACGTGGTCAGCTCGAACAAGCATGCCATGCACGGGAGCACGTAATTGACCCAGCTGCTGGACGCAACTATGGAGATGCTGGGGTATGTTTGGGTGAATGTGTTTGTTTTAGAAGCTGGAAACATGGTTCAAGCATGTTTCCAAATAGGACCTAAGAAGAAGAGGATATGCAAAGTGTGAGATAGGATAAGTTTAAAAATATGGATTTACAACCACACTGTCATATATATGCCAATTAACTAATTGCGAAAGGGCCCCAGCCATTTACCCATGAAAATTGCCATATCGTTCCATTTCTGAAGCAAGACAGGTAAAACCACTTCATCTCAATGGAGTACATCACAGTAGGCTTCATAACATGCTAAATTTCATCAAGTTCAAATCACAAGAAATATCTTGACCAACAATTATAAATTTTGAATACTGCTTCAGATTGAGCTTGATCAGAGGATTTTTGACTTCATGTTTACAATGTAGATAAACAAAGCTGATTAACACTATAAATTGATACACATGTACAATGAAAACTAAAGGATGCATTACAGCTAAAAGAACAGAAATCATTGATCATGTTGATTACCTGAGCATTGGGCAGAGTTGCACCCAGCAACTGAAGTCCCAAAATCGAGTAATGGGCGCTAGCTGCATCCTGAAATGGTTGAGCAGCCTGGAATACAGACTTCAATCTCTGTCTGTCTACTGTGGTGAGGAATGTTGATGGTGTCAATGCACGACCAACAACTGCTACCGCAAAGAGGATCAATATTGTGAAACCTGTCAATATAAGAAGTGGCATCCTTAATAAAAGAGAAAAAGCTCTTGAATAACAGCAGCATTATTGTATAACGTCATGTATGTGCTCTTGCACCCCACTTTGGAAAATGAGTCTTCAGATTGGTCAACCTGATACATACATTACGATTAGGGGGATAACTACAGATTGGTGCATAATATGCCAATCTGGGGATTATGGCTCATTTGAGAAACATGTGAGTTGTAGGGATTAGTGCAGCTGCTTTATCATGACCCTTTGACTCTTAAAAATGTCAGTCATTGATAATTAAAATCTTTACTTGGAACCAACAACTGCGAAAAAGTTCATCTCAAAATGAAAAAAACATCACACACTTTCATCCCCTTAAGGCTGAACACCAGGCAAGGTAACAAGTACCATATTTTAATGTCTATTGGTGTGACGCGACCAGGAATCGAAACACTGAACTTCTGCTCTCTTAGAGCAGACGCTATGTCCACCAGACCACGAACACGGTCTTGTAAGTTAATGAGAAATACTATGTATTTGTTGACATGTGGTGATGAGGTTTTCGCACACCATTCTGTCATTTCAATTTTCAAGCACTTTTTCGATGTTGAGGTCCAATTTTGATTCATATGAATTGATTTGATATTCACTTTTGTGGTTTAATCATATCAAACCATTCACATGCAAAAATAATTGTTTCTGCTTATTTTGAACTTTTTTTAAAAGTCATGTCAGGCTATATTAGAATCAAACATGCATGTCAGCAAAATGCATTTGTACTGTAGGCTGTACAAACGTGTTCACATTCTCATTAAAACCCTTTTTGTAATCACAAAAAATGAATATATACACCCTTAGAAACTAACAGTTTTAGTCCACTAGTCCTTACAAGGATAACATATAGCAATATCTATAAAAATGGCAAATGTCTACTAGTCCTAATGACTAATGGCAGTTTGTCAAGGACTATGGGACTAGTGCCTATTTCTAACGCTGTATAAACGTAACTTAGAATTTGTGATTAGAAAATTAACGACGCCTTGCCCACACCACACCATACATGTACAAAGTAATACGAGGCAATGGTAGTATTCCTCCGACACATGCAAAGGTGTTTGCTTATTGAAGAGAAACATTTACGTCAGGTATTGCATATATGTAAAAGTCAAAGACATCCTGAGTGAAATAGATACTTGGTTCTTTTATCGTTGACACTCCACTCTTCAGATAGTCCTAATATGAAGTGTAAATCAGATGGCCTGCTCTTAAAAGGCCTAAAAAATGCAAACACATAAGTAAAATCAAAAAGCTTTACATGTCATTTATTACTTTAAATCAAAACATATATTTTGCACTTCTTCAACCAGAATCTATGTAACTTTCAATCTCCGTTTTACACGTGGCAAACGGACGGCCTGATGGATATGGCGGAAAGCCGGTTTCGGAAGATGCTTTTCAAACACAAATGAAGGTAAATGCTATTTTGCAGTCAAAACGAAATACTTGTACGACAAATTTAAAAGACTAACGTGTCAAAAATCTGTATTACTAAATAAACCGGCACAAATGACCGCTCACACCTACCCGACGCCATGTTGATACACGAGTTTCATCCGGGGTCTATTCAAGAGGTCATGGAGGTCAATTATAAGGTTGTTTCCGGTGGTAAAGTTGAAGGACGTTTACATCTGCGAATGAAACAAGGGCAAGTGTGTTTGACAACTTGTGGGACGTGGCAGATGTCCATTAACTTAACACAAAGGGTAACACCCGTACGTACAACTATCATGGCTAGATATTCAAATTCTAAAAAGATGTCCATATTTTGTTACATTTAAAATCATGTCTACTATATTCTACTATATGCACTCAAACACAGCTCGTGAAGGCCAGTGCAACATCAGCAACACTCAATGAGAATGTATTATTCGTCCCCAGCAGATTTTTGTTTGTTGTTAAAAAATTAACGCCGCAAACAGCAATATTCTAGCTCTATGACGGCGGTCTGTGAATAAGCGAATCTGGAGCCAGACCACCATATGCTGTAGTAGTCGCCTCTAACGACTTGCATGGGCTGCTGGAGACCAATTCTCACCAGCAGATGTGGTTACATAGAAGGGCTCGGATGAGTCCAAATTTACCTCCCTGGTACTCGACTCCCTATTACCCGACCCGGAACTCCTTTAGAATACAGTACCACAAGTTATCGAGACCTCTGCCGTAGGCCACATGTCTCAAAGACAAGCAACCAGTTTTTGTACGTGAACTCGCGATCTTCGGATTGTTAGCCCGACAGCTAGCCTAACCGACTGAGCTACGTCCACACTGTGAATTTACCAAGTCATACCTGCGCCCTTACGGAACTGAACGAAAAGGGTTGAATAGGTGACGGACACTTATGAAGGTTATGGGTAGGCATGGTGTCTCGTGACTTTAGTCTGCAGACACTTAGCCTCTAAACGGGTACCTAACCCTGATGATTGTAAAGGGGTGATTGATCGTAAAGGGGATCCAAGGTTAAGGATAGAGTTTGGGGTAGCCTACCCTAACACTGGCAACATTTGAATGTGTTCAGCACCAATATAATATCCCTAATAAACTGCATTCTTGTGCATAATAATGGAAATTAATGAACCGAAAAAATAACATGTGTATATTAGTTCCCATTCATAACCATTTTAGCCACTTGAATTCATCTTCCCGAGGCAAGAGAGTTAACTGACTATAAAAGTCCAGTTTCCACCCTTGCCTAACTTGGCTGGAATTCCTGGGCTCGATCGTAGCGCCACCAGTGGCTATTACGAGTTATGTCCATTCTATACCTCTCCCATATGGACCAATCATATTACACCTCTCGTATCACATGCATTTGCTTCAAACAAAATGGTGGCGCCCAGTCAAGATGATCTGATCGACCATCAAGATCTATTTTGTGATAAAACGGTTCTTACTTCGTGAAGTACATCAAAACATGAAAAGATTTGGAAAATATCTGTTGACAACGAGTTGGCGATGCACATGCTTTGCAAATCCTGCAATCGACCGAACTCTGCATGACAGTTTACGAACCGGATTTCGATTTTGGTGCAGGATTTTGATTGGACTATGCATAGACTCGTTAGCCCAGCCAAAATGTAACTCCATAATCCAAGCCCAGCTTTCGTAAACTAGCGCTTGCTATAAAATGCCCCACCACAGGCTATATTTAGTAAACAAATTTTCAACTCTCAACACCGTTTGGCGTATTCAATGACATTATGTGAGGAAATGATAGATCACTGGGAGGAGCTTATGCACACTCGATGACCCCTGACGTCACAGGGCATTGTTTTGCCAGTGTGACTGGCAACAAAATACTACAAATTACGTCATAGGGTAATGTCACATGTTTGAAAAGTTTGTGGTACTGTATTCTAAAGGTAGGCCCCCGACCCTACCTGGGTACCAACTGTCGGTCTCAAGAGTTGAGTCCATAATGTCCAATTAGGAATTGTTTTACTAGAGCCCTGGCAAATGCTACTTAGAAACTGTATAAAACGATCAGATCATGCATACACTGAATATAATATCTGTAATGTAAAAGTCAGAAACAAGACATGCATAGCCAGAAAGAAATGCAAAGATAAGCGACTTTTATTGTTATTGTATTTAGACAATATCCTATGTCCTACTCAGTACTCACCCGACCCGAGTACCCGACGTACCCGTCCCAGTCCTGTTACATAGACCCACTCACTACCATTGCTTCGTTTTTACCATCTCTCTCAACTCCTAAAGAATTTCTCTCATACATGGGGGTGGGGGGGTCGGGTTGGGGCGTTTGTCGAATCAGCACCATGCCAATGTAGTAAACACTGAAGACCTACATCACTTTGGGCTTTCCTCCTCATGGTTATGACACACGGTGATGTACAATAATCTTCCAGGATGAAATAAATATACAAAACTTACTCACTCGCTCACTCATGTGTTTGTAACAACCAATCAAAATGACAAGAGTTGGGCATAGATTTGTATTTGAAAAGTGTGATTCAAGAGTTGTGTCCCCTGTACAGAGTTCCAATAACCAGTAACATTTGATTGAACTGCTATTTGTACTAAATGTAGAGCCATTTTTTTTTAATCAGCCTCAAAATAAAACTATAGGGGCGTAGAGGTTCAGGGTACTTATCATCATAGGATGTATTATATACACTGGATTATGGATAGACCTATAATGTTTAGGAAATTAAAAATATAGATTATTTCTTCTTTTGTAATGCTGAGATTTATCTAGACCTGTCCAGGGGCCAATAATTGGCCCGACGTCGGTGTTTCATTGTATCCTGAAAACATGAATCATTGCTCACAATTTCGATGACTGGATTGTCTGGTCAAGGCTTGATTATTTACAGGCAGCCATTATATAGCTGTAATATTGTTGAGTGCACCATTAAAGAACAAACATACTATCAATCCATAGTGTAGCTCAGCAGTGATGGTAACACTCAATATCTGAACTTGTCATTGACAGTTCAATCAACTGTGTAGCTCAGCAGTGATGGTAACTCTCAATATCTGAACTTGTCATTGACAGTTCAATCAACTGTGTAGCTCAGCAGTGATGGTAACTCTCAATATCTGAACTTGTCATTGATAGTTCAATCAACTGTTCAGCTCAGCAGTGATGGTAACACTCAATATCTGAACTTGTCATTGACAGTTCAATCAACTGTGTAGCTCAGCAGTGATGGTAACTCTCAATATCTGAACTTGTCATTGATAGTTCAATCAACTGTTCACCTCCGCAGTGATGGTAACTCTCAATATCTGAACTTGTCATTGACAGTTCAATCAACTGTGTAGCTCAGCAGTGATGGTGACACTCAATATCTGAACTTGTCATTGACAGTTCAATCAACTGTGTAGCTCAGCAGTGATGGTAACACTCAATATCTGAACTTGTCATTGACAGTTCAATCAACTGTATAGCTCAGCAGTGATGGTAACTCTCAATATCTGAACTTGTCATTGATAGTTCAATCAACTGTTCAGCTCAGCAGTGATGGTAACTCTCAATATTTGAACATGTCATTGACAGTTCAATCAACTGTGTAGCTCAGCAGTGATGGTAACTCTCAATATCTGAACTTGTCATTGATAGTTCAGTCAACTGTGTAGCTCAGCAGTGATGGTAACACTCAATATCTGAACTTGTCATTGACAGTTCAATCAACTGTTCAGCTCAGCAGTGATGGTAACACTCAATATCTGAACTTGTCATTGATAGTTCAATCAACTGTGTAGCTCAGCAGTGATGGTAACTCTCAATATCTGAACTTGTCATTGACAGTTCAATCAACTGTGTAGCTCAGCAGTGATGGTAACACTCAATATCTGAACTTGTCATTGATAGTTCAGTCAACTGTGTAGCTCAGCAGTGATGGTAACTCTCAATATCTGAACTTGTCATTGATAATTCAATCAACTGTGTAGCTCAGCAGTGATGGTAACACTCAATATCTGAACTTGTCATTGATAGTTCAGTCAACTGTGTAGCTCAGCAGTGATGGTAACTCTCAATATCTGAACTTGTCATTGACAGTTCAATCAACAGTGTAGCTCAGCAGTGATGGTAACTCTCAATATCTGAACTTGTCATTGATAGTTCAATCAACTGTTCAGCTCAGCAGTGATGGTAACACTCAATATCTGAACTTGTCATTGATAGTTCAGTCAACTGTGTAGCTCAGCAGTGATGGTAACTCTCAATATCTGAACTTGTCATTGACAGTTCAATCAACTGTGTAGCTCAGCAGTGATGGTAACACTCAATATCTGAACTTGTCATTGATAGTTCAGTCAACTGTGTAGCTCAGCAGTGATGGTAACTCTCAATATCTGAACTTGTCATTGATAATTCAATCAACTGTGTAGCTCAGCAGTAATGGTAACTCTCAATATCTGAACTTGTCATTAACAGTTCAATCAACTGTGTAGCTCAGCAGTGATGGTAACACTCAATATCTGAACTTGTCATTGATAGTTCAGTCAACTGTGTAGCTCAGCAGTGATGGTAACTCTCAATATCTGAACTTGTCATTGACAGTTCAATCAACTGTGTAGCTCAGCAGTGATGGTAACTCTCAATATCTGAACTTGTCATTGACAGTTCAATCAACTGTGTAGCTCAGCAGTGATGGTAACACTCAATATCTGAACTTGTCATTGATAGTTCAGTCAACTGTGTAGCTCAGCAGTAATGGTAACTCTCAATATTTGAACATGTCATTGACAGTTCAATCAACTGTGTAGCTCAGCAGTGATGGTAACTCTCAATATCTGAACTTTTCATTGATAGTTCAGTCAACTGTGTAGCTCAGCAGTGATGGTAACACTTAATATCTGAACTTGTCATTGACAGTTCAATCAACTGTGTAGCTCAGCAGTGATGGTAACACTCAATATCTGAACTTGTCATTGAAAGTTCAGTCAACTGTGTAGCTCAGCAGTGATGGTAACTCTCAATATCTGAACTTGTCATTGACAGTTCAATCAACTGTGTAGCTCAGCAGTGATGGTAACTCTCAATATCTGAACTTGTCATTGATAGTTCAGTCAACTGTGTAGCTAGGCAGTGATGGTAACACTCAATATCTGAACTTGTCATTGACAATTCAATCAACTGTGTAGCTCAGCAGTGATGGTAACACTCAATATCTGAACTTGTCATTGATAGTTCAGTCAACTGTGTAGCTCAGCAGTGATGGTAACTCTCAATATTTGAACTTGT